GTGAAATTAGCAAAATTGGCATTGACAATATCATTAGTTCAGTAGTTCACAATTGGTCCCTCCTCCAATATCTTTGTTTGATTCTTCTCTTTCAGTTTACCAACACAAAAATCACAAAAAAAATGTATAACTCAAAAAAAATAGAATAGATGTAAAGAGGGCATAAAATTTGAAAAACAACACCAAAAGATGCATCACTAAGGCACAACTAAGGACAAACAAGAAACACGAGCTTAATAGTGAATCCAAAGAAGCAAAAAAGAAGGTACCTCAAAAACAAAAACTAATCGAAAGCAATGAGAAATGTCGATAACATGGCTACAAACCACAACACGGGTAAAACTAGAGAAGGGGAACAAAAATCCAATAGTTATGGTATACATCATCCCAAAATAAAAAGAAAAATAATATAAACACTTCCACCTCAGGACAAAAACTGCAAAACATCTTAGAGAAAGACATGCCATATCAGGAGCCAAATGGAGCCAAAGGCATTACCGTCTACATGGTCAAAAAGTACATTAGTTAGAGTAAAGCGCAACCCAAATATGAACAACATGAACATTTAATCACTATTAGCAACCCTACAAACAAATATAAAAACAATATGATAGTTTTTTCGGTTTCTTGCTCACCTATTTATTCTTTTGCTTCTTGAAAATCGTTGTGAAGTTATGTATTATGAGGAGTCATGAAATAGTCATAATTGTTTATTGAAAACTGAAGCGTTGAGGACGAGGCCCAGGACGGTCGCCCAACTTTCCCCCGATTGGGTCGGCCCTGTAGTTTGCGGACTCCTTATCAATCACCTAGAATGTCAGATCAAGTTGAGGTCGACTTCAACTTTTCTATTTTTGCCACCTTCGCAAACATATATGTTGGATTTGGCATACCGATGATATTAAAGGATATATAACATACCATCAAAAATAATATTATCTCTTATGAAATATTTCATTTGGATGTGTTTTGGTTCTACCATGAAATACTAGATTTTTTACGAGATGAAACATACTCTTATTACAATAAAGAAGGTAATATTTAATTATGTTTCATGTCCAACTATGAGAGGAGGTTCTTTATCCACATAACCTCCTTGTTAGTTTATGCAATAGCCATGCCTCTGCTGCTTCTGTGGTTGAAAGTGCAAAATCTGGACTGACTTCCAACCAACTAATGTACCTACAATATTAAACACATATCAACTTATGTGCCTTCAATATTGAACACATACCAGTAGTGCTCTTCCTGAGTCTAAACATGCATCCACTCAAGACCGCATTTATGAATCCTTCAAATGTAACTCGTGGTGCTCTTCTTTGTGACCATATTAAATTTTCAGTTAAAAAAAAGATTTTCGTAAAAAAGAAGTTGAACTTTACTAGTCGACCAGTGGTGAATTCATGTCTGAAGGAAGCATGCGCTCAAACAAGTTTAACTAACCAACTAATATTTGCTATTCATATTTACACCCCTCACATTCATATATCCTTCCTTACATGCACAAAAGAGAGCCTTGATGATATAGTCATACTAGCTTAAGAAACTTAATTTTATACATATAAACCAGTTATTTTCCATGTTTTCAGTAATATGGGATGTCTTAAAATCATTCATCCAAAGTTTGTTTTGGACGTTTAATATATCAGAATAAGATATGAGAACACAAATATATAACCATTTATCTTTTTTCAAAATGTGTAAGGTATGGAAATTGTGTTCAAAAATGAAAAAAGAAAGCCATATTGGAAAACTGGGTAAACCGATTCTTCCAACAAACATATTAAATAGTTAACTGAAAATAAATAATAGCCAAACATATTTATAAAAAAAAATGGAAATGCATACAACTTGCAAATGCCAAGACTTGAAAAACTCGATTAAAATTAGTTCAGTTTCAGCAAAAAGGAAATTTCAAACGAACACATTGAGGCATAGTTACATGTGTGTTTTAATCTCACATTTTCAACAAAAATATATAGAAAATGGTGGCAAATATTTTAATTTCTAAAAACTAAAATGTTTTGTCAAATACGTTTGAGTAAAATTATAGACATCTTCCCAAGCTTATCGTTTATTTAGTCCACAAATTGTTATTTGTACAATTTAAATCCAAAATAGTTTATTTGTATGTGATGTTTCATGTTTGAATCGGACTTTGACTTTTGAGGCTTGGTTCACACGCCTGACCCCAAATGCTCTTTGTTGTATATCTCATGTCTGTATATTTTTAGACTTTAGTACGTGTAATATCAAATAGAAATTAAAGCTTAATAATCAATAATTTCAGATAAAAAAATAATGGATTAATGGACAACCATTTATAGCACTTGGAGAAGGTTTATATAATCAGGAGCTGATATATGTACAAATCTTTGGAGTAAATCTTAAATTATTTTTAATATATTTTGCAAAAAAGATTTATTTTATTAGACTTTCAAAAAAGGAATATATTAATATTTCGACTAAAAGTGTCCACTAAAAGGAATACATTAATATTTCGACTAAAAGTGTCCACAATATGAATTTATTTTATTAGACAATCAATTACAATTAACCAACTTAAAAAAATATAACAAAATAAATAAGGTTGTTGGTATAGTTAATTTTTTTAGTTGGTATGTACAGGTTTTTATCTTTTTTGGGGACGAGGCCTCAGACCGACCCGGTTTTCGATGGGCCCGGTTTGGCTGGAGCTAGGCGGCTTAGCCCAAAGTGGCTGAACCTAAAATTGTGTGCCCAGTAACTCTGGTTGCAGAATGCAGATTTGCAGTTGCAGGTAGGAGAATTTATGAACTAATATCTGTTAAGTTGTTGATGTGTTGGTTTAAATTTTTTAAGTTTCAAAATAAAATTTTAATGAAGCTTATAAGTTTGTAAATATACAACTTTTAACTATTTTATTTTTTTCGCTCCACTGATGACATAATAATCATCGCATCACATTATTCATAATTGGTCGGATTCAAATAATTATATTAAAACGGCATTGGATTCAAGTAGATGACTTTAAGTTGATCTTGTTTTAGAGTGAGTGGTCAAACAAGAATTTATTGGTGATTCCAAATTTTCGTGGATCCCACGAGCAACAAAAAATGAAAATAAAAAGTAAAGTTTTCTGCTAATTTTGACAATCAAACAAAAGTGTATTGCTATTTGCTAATTTGCTCTGCATCATTGGTGAATTGAAATAAATAGCAATGTATATGAGTCTGTCCCTGTTTAAAACTAAAATAACAGGAATAGTCCTTGTGTAAAAATATTACACAAATGGTCCCTGTCAAATATTAAACAAATGGTCCGTGGCAAAAAAATATATATATTACACAAATGGTCCCTCAGAAAACAAATAGTACATAAATGATCCCTGTTTAATTTTTTTGGAAATTGTTTTCTTTTTAAGCATTGTAATTAGTACAATGCCATAATATGATAACATATCTATAAGATTAACACATTAGCACACACACACACAGAAATCACACAAACACACAATTTGGTTATGTATAATCAGTCTAATATCACAATCTACTTTTTTCAAAAATTCAAAAGCAACAAGATTACAACATGTTCATTCCATAACCATTATCAATTTCAAATTTATTCATGTTCTTTTCCTCCATATTTTATGAGTTTAAGACATCAACCACAAACAAAAACTACAAAAAAAAAATTCCCTCAATTCTTATGTTCCATTCGACCACTTTCAGAACCTGCATACGGATCAATGGTGACATTTATAACAGCAGGTTTCCTTGCACTAAAAGATTCATCAAGAGCAGATTTAAGCTCTTCAGGGGTCCCAACAAGATACCCTTTCCCTCCAAAAGCTTCAATCAAAACATGGTATGCTGCTCCAGGGACAAATGAAGTGGGTGCTGGATCATCTTTATAAGGCCCTGTAATTTCATTAGGACATCTCCGGTCACCACCATACACACCACCATTGTTGAACACTATCACCACCACTGGTAAATCATACCTAACCAAAGTCTGAATAAAAACCACAACATATTTCAGGACCAAAATTGAAAAAAGAAGAAGCTAGATTCAGGGGAAGAAAAATGAAAAAGAAAGCAAACCTCGACTTCCATGGCACTGAATCCGAATCCAGAATCACCTTCAACAGCAACCACAAGCCGATCAGGTGAAGCTATTGCTGCTGCAATACAATACCCTAAACCAACACCCATTGTCCCCCATGTTCCTGCATCTAACCGGGTTCTGGGTTCCATTTGAACCAAAACGGATCGACCCACATCCATGGTGTTAGCCCCTTCTGAAACCAGTATAGGAGCAGGACTACCTAAACTAGCAATCTTATCTCTGATAATCCTCATTGGAGTCAAGAAATCAAAGGGGACAACAACTTTGGATAACTGTACCTCCATTTTTGACACATTTTCTTTCACCTTGTTGGTTATGGATTCGATCCAAGGATGGGTTCGACCTAAGCAAAACGGGTCGTCTTTGATCTCTTTGTTTAGTACTTGAAGAATCCTTTTTGCGTCCCCAATTAGGCCTAAATAGGGTTTTCGGAGATCAATCTCTTCTTCATCTATGTCAATCAAGATGAATTTAACATCTTTTGACCACTTTGGAGGTTCTCCAAAGTGCAATAGCCAGTTCAATCTAGCACCAATAACTACGGCGACATCACATTCACCAATTGCAAGTGATCGGGCAGCTGTTGCAGCTAGGTCATGGGTATCGGGTAATAGACCTTTGCCCATTGGAGTCGGCAAGAATGGGATTCCGGTTTTTTCAACTAGGTTCTTGAGTTCATCTTCAGCTCTAGCTATGGCTGCCCCTTTACCGAATACAATCAATGGCCTCTCGGCTTTTCTGATTAAAGATATGGCTTTGTCGATTTCTTCTTTTGCTACTTTCTTAATTGGATCTGTCTTTCTACTATTCTCTGCTTCATCTAGTAATTTGTTTGCTTCTGACTCGGTTATTGTTTGGTGGAGCACATCGGAGGGGATGTCTAAGTAACATCCGCCGGGCCGACCTGATCCGGCATGATCGAGAACACTGAAAACCGAATTAGGTATTTCGTTGATGTTTTTTGCTTTAACGGAAAACTTAACGAAGGGTTTTACCGCGGCGATCTGATCGAGTTCCTGGAAATCTCCTCTGCCGACATCCTTCTGATCGCAGGATCCAGAAATCATAACCATCGGCCAAGCGTTGGCGGCAGCGTTGGAGAGTCCGGCGAGGCCATGAACACATCCGGGGCCGGAAACAGTGAGGAGGATGCCAGGACGACCGGTGAGGTATCCATAAGCTGATGCAGCGTATCCTGCTGACTGCTCGTTATGGAAAGCGATGAATCTGATTCCGAGTGCGACGGCGCGGTTGGCTAAGGAGGTAACAGGTATTCCGACGACGCCAAACATGCGGTCGATGCCGCCGCGTACTAGGGCTTTGGCGATGAGAAGATTGCCGTCAACTAGAGCAGATTTCACTCCGGATTCACCCATTAGCGTGTTGAAAAAGCAACAATCAAGTAGGTAAAATTGGAAAATAGAGAAAAAAGGAGAATTAGTGGGAGGAGAGTGAAGAGGAAATGGGGAAGACTAGGCGTCGTCGATACTAATTTGGGTAGAGCGAAAAGGGTGTGATAAATGGGTGACCTGGTGGAAATCAAAATTGGTTTTGGCTACTGAATTGAATCCATCAGCAAGCCGACGACAATTGAAACCAGATGCAGACTCGAATTTCAATTCTCTTTCGGAATGAGTGCCACTTGACAACTCGATTACGTTCAGAGTTTGTCTCATTGGCATCTTTGTAAAAAAAATATATAAAAATAAGGCTAATTCTATAAGGGGCTGTGAAAAAAAAAACATAAAACAAACTCCTTTAATGGTTTTATTTACATAATGTTTTAAAATTAGTTTTTTAAGTCGAAGATTATTGGTTTATTGTTTGTTAGGTCAATTGGTTTCTAAAATTTACATATTTTTTTCTATTATATATATATATATATATATATATATATATATATATATATATATATATATATATATATATAAATCAAGAATTTTACATCCATGAGTTCAAATAATCAAACATTAAAAATACATATAAAACAACTTATAGATCAATCTAAATACATTAAAAAATACATAAATACAAATTTTACATCAATCAATCCGTTTTTATTCAATTTAACTAGTTAAATTTTAACAATTTCAACCGAGTTTTTGTAAAAATCGGTTGGTTCGTTTCGGTTTAGAAATAAAGGAAATCTATAGAAAAAGTCTCAAACTTTTAAGAAAAGTTTTAAAAAGGTTCTATTTTTTTTTTAACAGAAGAGTCCTGATTATTTAACATTTTGCCCAAAATAACGAAAAAGTCATTTTTTATATTTGAACAACAAATGACAGAATATGTGATTTTCTCAAAATAATGGAACTTTTCTGTTCAAAAAAAATTAAGACTTTTTTGAAAATTTTCCCAAAAGTTTGGGATTTTTCTGTAGATTTCATTAGAAAAAGCCATAAAATCGGTGTTAATTGAATTGTTCATTTCCCCAGTTTCCTATCCAACCAATTAGACCAATTGATTCAAATAGGTTTTTAAAATACTCATTTACATTGTCTTCCGCAAAATATTAAATATAGTAAAATAGTCTAATTAGTTAGGGTTATCAATCAAAATGATTTGACATTTTGGTTTTTTTATTTTTTCTTCTCTTTTGGAAAATTGTTAGAAAAATCTTAATATTTTCGGAAAAGTTTCACTTTAGTCCAAAAACAAATTAACATAGAAGTTCCGATTAATTCATTTTGGCTCAATATAACAAAAACAAAAACATTTTTTTTCTTTTAACAGAAAATTACATAGTAAAGTGTAAAATCAAATAATCATGACTTTTAAAAAAAATCGTTTTAAAGTGAAACTTTTCAAAAAATATTAAGATTTTACTAACAATTTCCCTTATCTTTTCAATAAAATGTTTAGATTATTTTTTTATTTTCTAGTTGTAATCTCTAAATATTATTAAAAGAGAACCTTTAATTCACGAATGAAGCAATCAGGGCCCTTGATTGTGTTTTAATCCTATATTTTCCACCCTTAGATCAAATTGCTGACATCATCTTCCCCAAATAAAATTCAAACACAATTACATTTAATTATAGAATCTGTAATAATTATAAAATCTTTAAATTCAGTAATTATTTTATCAATTGAAAC